AGTTATTACTTTGAAAATCCTAAATAATATTCATTAAGTTCCTACTGAGATGGTTTTAATACAAGGTTTGCAGTGAATGAGGTAGTTAATCCTTATTTGTTTCTTGCTTTACAGGTTTATTATTCTCAGTCCATTAAATTAATTTCTTTTTTAAAATTTTTAATGTTTTATTTATTTCTGAGGGAGAGAGAGAGAGAGAGAGAGAGAGAGAGAGAGAGAATGTGAGCAGGGAAGGGTCAGTGAGACAGGGAAATACAGAATCTGAAGCCAGCTCCAGGCTCTGAACTGGCAGTCAGCACAGAGCCCAATGCAGGGCTCGATCCCACGACTGTGTGATCATGACCTGAGCCGAAGTCAGACACTTAACTGACTGAGCCACCCAGTCACCCCCATTAAATTAATTTCTATTTTTTCTTTAAATACATGCTACTTAAACATTTCTAGTTTATTTATAGAGCATTTAAGGCTATTTTCATTGATGACTTATAATTATGTACAATTGTGTAAATAGAGAATTAGGTTTTAAGAAACAGATACAATAAGATATGATATCAGTATTAAGCCTGTTTGACTGTAGTCAAAATAAAGCTAAGTATCATATAAACTTATGATGGCAAAACTCAATTAGGATTTTGACACTACCAAGCTGTCCTACTCACAAAAAGCAGTGCTTTTAAAACCTTCTTTATCTCCTTAAATTTCTGACAAATCAGCCTACATCATCACTCAGCCAACTTTCCTTCTAATGGATAAAGAAAATAAATCCTCACAGATTAAATGCTTAAAATTAATCACATCAAACCTATAAACCTCTTGCATCTATGACCACCTCTCTGTGTCCACCTGTTATATTAGAGGAACTGATTCTCCTTCCATCTAAATGTCTCCACTTATGTTCTGTGCTACATCAATAAATAACCTTAAAAAAATCAGTCATACCATCTCTCCCTTTATCATAATCCCTTCCGTTTCTACTATGTATCTCTCCTAATTTATACATTCTCAATTCTCGCTGATATAAATGATATAAAACTAAACATGAACAAAGAGATGAACAAAAAACAAACACAATACCTTGTTTGGATTTCTCTTTACTCTCTAGCCACACACCACTCCAGGTTTTTCTTTCCTATGCAAGTTTTTCCCATTCCATTTTTTACTATTTCACACATTTCCCAACTTCTGTATCCTTCCTTGAGGAACTTCGGTTTTACTTCCAAACCCATAATACCACAAAACCATGCTTCCTTTGAAGTCAATGATTACATCTATGTCACTGTTTTCTAATGGGCATTGCCTTAGACATAATCATACTTGGTCCACCAGAAGAAGTCTATACTATTGAAAATTTCTCCCTTTCTAAGATATTCCTTGGGAGTCAATGATTCCATCTTCTTTTGCTTTTTTCTCCTATGATTTGTCTATCCTTCTATTCTCTTTTGTTGGTTAATTCAACTTTATATTTTTCTTATATTGTTTCCAGTACTCAATTCTAGATCATTCAACTCCACTATATGTTCTTTAGATGCAGTACTGATGCTTTATACATAGCATGATGATTTCTAAATTTATACGGCTTGTTGACATATCTCTTATGAGTTCCAGACATTTTAACCATCTGCCTACTTTGCATCCTCAGAGTGATATTTAAAGTAAAATCAAAGTCAGCATGTTCAAATATCAAATCCATGAAAAATTCAGGCTCTTCACCTTTTAAGAGATAGAGTAGATAAGGATTACTTTAACCATATAGAAGAATGGAGAAATGAGGAAGATGGAGATAAGAAAGATGGCCAAAGAAGTAAGGAAAAATCAGAAGTTCAGATTTGGACAGATAAGTAGTCTATTACTGGACATCCAAATAGGGATGTCAGAAATACAGTTGAATGTATGAGGCTGAAGTTCAATGGAGAGAATTGGCTAGAGATATAAATTTGAGAGTCCTTAGGAAAAGGATGGTGGTTAAGGCCAGAAGACTAGGTAAGATCACCAAAGAAGTGAGGTATGTATGGGAAAAGGTAAGAGTTCAATGTCTATGAAACTAGTGTTTAGAAATTGAGGGGATGAAGATGAATCAGTAAAAGAGATGGAAAAGGGGTGGTCAGACAAGAGAAAAAAATCACAGAGTGAGACAGTATTAGAAGTCAAGTGAAGAAGGGATAGAAATGTTTCTTTTTGGGGTACCTTTTTCATTTTAGAGGCAACTTCATCCTTCTAGTGACTCAGATCCTTGAAATCATCCTCATCTATTCTATATCTCATACTCCAAATTTATTCTATTAGGAAAACTTGACAGTTCCAACTAATATTTCAACTCCACTGCTACTGCACTGTTTTATGTCATTATTACATCCCATCTGGATTACTTTCACCTGATCCCTCTAATTTTGTCCTTGCCCTATTTAACCTATTCTTGTTTTTTTTTTTAAGATTTTTATTTATTTCTAGGAGAGAGAGAGAAAGACAGCGTGAACAGGGGAGGGTCAGAGAGAGAGGGAGTCACAGACTGAAACAGGCTCCAGGCTCTGAGCTGGCAGTCAGCACAGAGCCCGATGCGGGGCTCGAACCCACCAACCACGAGATCATGACCTAAGCGAAAGTCGGACGCTTAACCGACTAAGCCACCCATGAGCCCCCTATTTAACCTATTCTTAATCGCCAGAAGGATTCTTCTTAAATGCAATTAAGATAATGTCACTCCTCTGTGAAGAAACTTACATTGTTTTCTCAGCTATCTCAGTGTATGAGCCAAAGATCTAACAAGTGCCCCAGCTGCCAATCTAACTGACCCCTTTGCTCCCTTATTGCATTTCCTACTAAACTACCCTTACTTAGTCTAGTCTAGTGACACTGTACCTCAGGACATGTGCAGTTGTTTCTTTTCCCTAGAATATATTGTCCCGAGATAAATGCTTGAAAATCCTCTCATTTCATTCAAAACTTTGTTCAAAAGTCATTGTATCAGTCTATGGACATTTAGGCTCTTTCCATAATTTGGCTATTGTTGTTAATGCTGCTATAAGTATGTGTCTCTTTGAATCAGTATTTTTGCATCTTTAGGTAAATATCTAGTAGTGCAATTGCTGGGTCATAGGGTAGTTCTATCTTCAATTTTTGAGGAATCTCCGTACTGTTTTCCAGAGTGGCTCTTGCCATTTGCCATGATGTGGATGGAGCTAGAGCTATTCTGCTAAGCAAAATAAGTTAGTCAGAGGAAGACAACTACCAAATGATTTCACTCGTATATGGAATTTCAGAAACAAAACAGATGGACACAGGGAAATTAAAAAAGGAGAGAGGGGGGCAAACTATAAGAGAATCTTAACCATAGAGAACAAACAAAGTGTTGATGGAGGGGAGGTGGGGGCGGGGATGTGTTAAATGAGTAATGGGCATTAGGGAGGGCTCAATTACTTGTATTGAGCACTGGGTATTAAGTAATGAATCACTAAATTCTACTCCTGAAACTAATATCACACTATATGTTAACTAACTAAAATTTAAATAAAAACTTGAAAAATAAAATCTTTTTATCATTGTAGACCTATGTAAAGTTGCAGTCACCTACTCTAAAAGTACATTCTGTGGATATATCTTTTTTCTAAATAGGACTTAGTAACATTTAAGCAGTATGTTACTTTAAGGACATATTTTTTGTTTTATTTGTTTTGTTTTGTTTCTGTTTTCTTCATACTTTGTAGCCTTACTACCTGAAGGAGTGTCTGGCACATAAAAGCAATCTATACATATTTATTCAAAGAATAAATGACTCAATGAATGAAAGAATCAATGGAGTAAAAGGAGGAGAGAGGACAGAGAGACCGAGAGATTATTTTTTTTTATTAACAAATATCTCTTTGGAAATTTTAAGCTTGCTTATCCTATATTATGAAAGAATAATGCATTTTTAAGTCAAGTAATTTACATTTAGATTGTAGCTTAAATGAACAACAGATACTTTAAATTAAAAATAAACCTGAACTGGAAAAAAAACAATTAGCAAAGAACAATACAGAATTCAAAAACAAAAGCTGGATAAACTAGGACAAGAGAAATAGCATGCTAAGTATAACAGTCTAATAGAATCATACACTGGATAAGCTTATTTCCTAAATACATATTTGTCAATATGCATTTTTAGTCTCAAATATGACTCTGGGATCAATGCCTGCCACAAAATAAGTTCTTCATTTTTTCACTATTTTCATAAATCTTACCAAAATTTATTGGGATGGATACAATGTTGAAGTTTTATTTCTATATGTGTGTGTCATTTTTATTAGAAATTTATTTCAAAATTATTTTTAGTATAGGCCCTGAAACTTTTAGACAGAGTAAACTATGCTTGAATTTTAATTGAGGAGTTATAGAGGGCACAATTTCTACTTAAAAACTTGAAAGCAAGCTAATTCTTTTGGGGTTGCCTGGTAACTAATAAGGAGTATGTCAAATTGAAAGACAGGTCTGACAGAAGCAGCCTTTGAATAAATAATAGGATTGTTGTCAACTTTAGCCTCTGAGAAGTGAGTCAGGAACCAATTCTAAGTTACACTGAAGAAAAGACAGTTGAAATGTATTTTGTGTTTTTTTAGTGAATTGTCCACTGTTTGCCCTTAAACAATTTTCCTCACCAACAATTTGTGATTAATGTAGAGAGGTTAAAAGAAAATTCTGAAGACACCATTGAATATCTGTTGAAATTAAATGAAAATGGCCTGAGGCATTTTGAGAGTCAGGATTATTTATTCATTGCCATTTATTTTTTTATAAATCCATATTAATGCAATGTATTAGCTCCTTAAAGAAATAAATGGACACCAAGAATGATTACTACTCTGATAAGAGATTTGACATAAGTGATTTTTAGGGTGACAGTCTTGTCGCAGTGACTCCAGGGTATATGTACAACAATATGCCTGGACAAGTCTTTAGTTACAATGATATATCAAGCTGTTGATCGTATACTCATGGATTGTGACCTATTTCTGTTTTAATTCCAGCAGGAAAAGAGTCAAGAAAGTTCAAGAATCAAAGGTAAGAAACGGCGGTTTTAAGATCATAGTTTCATAAATTCATGTGAGTATAGAAGAAAGAAAGCATGCAGCTTTGGAAACTTACTTAAATATGAGAAAACAAAATGAATTCAAAATTTTCAACGTGGCTTTAAGGTCATTGTGAGCCCTTTGGAAATTCTAGGTCACTGGGGATCCTCTATTGAGGTTTCATTTTTTCATATAATGCTGTTGGGAACTTCAGCAGAATTTTCTGTTAACTCTCTGAATTGTTCTCATGGATTCCTCCATCAGGCATTGTCCAGAACCGTTGGCGTTCTGTTACATCCATGGTTTACCAGATAAACTTTACAAAATATATCTCATGGAAAAACAATTATTAAATTGCTGTTATCTCATTTATTTCTACAAAAAAAGCAAGAACATATTTATGTATTAAAAATTGGTGATAGCATGGTCAACTCTAGTCAGACATAGGGAAACTCTTTTTCCCATAATAACATTCCATGTTTTGATGTTTACTTTTTGAGATAATAAATTACTCCAGGTAGATTACAGTTCTTTAGCAAAAGGTTTTCATTAGCTTGTTCTCCTGCTGATCATAATAATGAAATTTAACTGATTTTTCATGAGTTAATTCTTCTGGCTTCGCCATTCAGGTGCTGGCCCTTCTTATTGCACAGTCCCTCACCAATTCCTTTCCAGTAGATGTTTTGTCACAAACCTGACTATGGAGTGAATGGTTGTCTTCCCATTTCCTTCCATCCTTTTTGCATAGAAAAATAGGTTTATTTTTATTTTACTTTTTCTTAGAGTTCTACAGAACCAAAACAAACTAACACCAAAACAAAAAACAAAAAACAGAACAAAACAAAACTGTGAAGTTACCAAGTTTACATATACTTCTGAAACAATGAAGGGGAAATTATTCTTCTGAGGGTCTCTAAATTGATGGTATTAATCTTGCTTACTAATAACAAATCCAAATAGAATCTTCCCTGCACATTTCCTGCAAGCAATTGAATTACTCCATTTGGTTTCCATGTTTGGTCATCTGTATGTGTCTGTATTCCTGAAGAATATGAAAAGACAGACTTTTTTATTTTGCTAGGTATGTTTTATTCAAATGAATTATGTAAGACTGCCCTTCCAGGGATTCCCAAACTATTTGTGTTCTTTTTCAGCAAACTGAAGTATGTCTTGTTATTTTATATGTGAAATTATTACACTTATTTATCCTCAAAGCACTAATATTAACTCAAAATTTCATACTTTTGTGTTACAAAAGGGAATTTCTATTCCAAGATGTTCTGTATGATGTGCATTTAAATGATATATACATTTTAAGCATATTGAGTACACATCTTCCTTCCCTTGAAGGACCCCAGTGTTTCAAGTTAAACTTAAATCATATTTATAATTCTGTTATAGTTGAAATAAGTATAGCTTTCTTCTTGATGCTTTATTGTCTTGGGATATATAAATCCTATCATCTATAGTAGCAGAAATTATATTTTTTCAATGACTGCCTAGGAACATGTTTTCTTTTATAATGTAATAAAATTTTGAGATGATGCTTGTCACTTCTTTCACTGTTATTGGCTGACACATGGTTCAGAACTCTCACATTATGGCTTCTAGGCTACTGAGTTGCAAGTAAATTAGAGACATACAGTTTTGTTGGGACCTGTTGCCAAACTCTACTTAGAATTCAGTATTTTTCTTGACTATGGGAATCACCTTTAATGTTTTTTTTTACTTGAAATTACAAGTGGCATTAAATTTGTCTTTAAAGGCTAATATTAAGGAAAAAAGAATTGAATAAACCAATTGTTTACACATTGATAGATGAGAAAAATTCTAAAAATCAAATATTGTACATATTTTGGTAACCAATTGTTGAAATGTGAGTTTTGTTCACATGATATTAGTAATCAATTCTAATATCCAATTCCCCAGACTTCCTGACCAATTGGTATTCTTATTTTTAGAACATGTTTATTATACAGTCAGGAATGTATGCAGAGGAAGTCTTTAACCTTCTAATTTTTCTAATTCTGTACCTATTCATGATTATGACAAAAATTCCAACCTCATTATATAAGTGACCTGAAATCACATAAATTCACAAAGCAGTCCAGTGAAAATCAATCAATCTTTCCTCTGTGTACATGGAAATTTATATTGAAATGTTTAGAAACTTGCAATTCTAACCCTGACTAATTATTTGATACTCACACATGCTTTTATTCTAATATTATTTTGAGATGCCATAGAATCCAATCTGTACTAATTCTAAAATTACATTTATATGGAATTGAATTGGCAAAATGAATTTTGGTTTGATAGTTAGTATACCATTGAATTCTCAATTGATTTTCACATTTAAATTGCTTATGTTGTCAAATGAATTAGAGCTTAACCTCTATCTAGTTAGTACACAATTTTGAGGATTACAATGATGTAAGATATCCTTTCTTAAAGATACATTGAGAATGATAGCAGGATCATTGTCTTAATAGGTGTAAAAAATGATCAACTCTTTGGGAAGGCATATTTTGCACTGGATTTCAGTGACATTACAAATATATTAGGATACGGTATATTATGTGTTTAAAATTCATTAAGAATTTAAGGGGTGCCTGGGTGGCTCAGTCAGTTAAATGTCCCACTCTTAATTTTGGCCCAGGTCATGTCATGATTTCAAGGTTGGTGGGAACGAGCTCCACATTGGGCTGTGTGCTGACAGTGCAAAGTCTGTTTGGATTCTCTCTCTCTCCTTCTTTCTTTGCCCTTCCCCCATTTGTGCTGTCTCTGTCTCTCAAAATAAATAAACTTAAAAAAATTTGTTAAGAATTTGATAAATATTATTAGGAAATAATTTCCTTTGAAGAATAGTTCATTACAATACAAGGATCATAAGTCAGTTTTCCAGGGGCATATTTCTGCCAATATTTCTCAGGGGCATATTTTAATTTGTGTTATGTTTATTCATTCATATTTAAGAGCGTCTCTCTAGAGTTCTCAGTGATAAGTGTAACAGTTTTTGACAAAAAATTAAATGATTCTTCCTTTACAAAGAGCTTAAAACTTCTGTCAACTTAGTTGAGCTTTGTTTTTGTTTTTGTTTTTATGTTTTATTTATTTCTGAGAGAGAGAGAGAGAGAGAGAGACAGCATGAACAGGAGAGGGCCAGAGAGAGAGGGAGATACAGAATTTGAAGTAGGTTCCAGGCTCTGAGCTGGCTGTCAGCACAGAGCCCAACACAGGGCTCAAACCCACTAACCATGAGATCAAGACCTGAGCCGAAGTCAGACGCTTAACCTACTGAGCCACCCAGGCGCCCTAACTTAGTTGAGCTTTGAACTTTCCAAAAATAATTTAAAACACTTACTGCAGTCAGAAGGACAATATTACTGTGGGAAGTTTGAATATGATTATACTGTAGCATGTTCCTGAGTATCTGCTTCCTCTCTCTGTCATTAAAAGCATGTTCATTCATTCACCGAAAAGATTCAGGTCTTTTATTATGCATTTTTCCTTCCTCACTTTTCAAGTGGAAACTTTTAGCTCTTCTCATTCAGAAGTGATAAAAATAAAGTATAGTCCCCTTTCATTGCTAGTTATATGTTGGGGGACACTGAGGACTAAAGTCGGTTCCCTAACAGTTACTTACATGGCATATTATTAACCTCTTTCTTTTTTAAAAAATATTTTTTAATGTTTATTTATTTTTTGAGAGAGACAGAGAGATAAAGCAGAAGTGGCAGAGGGGCAGAGAAAGGGAGACACAGAATCCCAAGCAAGCTCTAGGCTTTGAGCTGTAAGTACCGCCCAACCCGGGGCTCAAATTCACAGACCGTGAGATCATGACCTGAGCTGACTGTCAGACACTTAACTGACCGAACCACCTAGGGGCCCCAACATCTATCTTTTCTTAAATATCTAATGGATGTCAGATATTTGGTGGGGCTTTTACAGGTATTATCTCCTTTTAATCCTCAAACATATTATTAGGTAAGATTTAGCATTAAACATGCCAGTGTTTGGGGGAAACACATATGAAATAAATAATTCAGAAAACTATTATCATTTTGTTCTATTTTTAAATGGGTTACATTTTATTTAACCAATTACCAATTATACATTAGGTACATTTAGCATGCTGTTATTAGCAATGCCTTTTTACATTTTCATGGATTTGATACATATGATTTTTATCATATAGGCATTATGTTTTCTTCAATGGTATGGTATTACAAATTAATTCTCTTACTGCTAATTTGTATAAATACTGCTCAGGGCTTTGTAACTTTAAGAAAAATTTGATCATTATCAATTATCATTACAATGTGGCATAGTAATGTTCTAAGGGACAGATGTAGAATTGTGCCAGCTTTTGCAATACATGCTTGTGATTTTGACAAGTGACTTAGCCCTCCAGAAGTAGTTCATTTTTTATAGTTAATGTAAAAAACCTACTCCATGATATCAAAAGTCCTTTTATATATATAGAAATTCTAGGGCTAAGACCATATCTAAACAAATTAAAGGTGTGTGTTTGGGGGTGTTTTGGTGGCTTAGTTGGTTAAGTGTCTGACTCTTGGTTTAGGTTCAGGTCATGATCTCACGGTTTGTGGGTTCAAACCCCAAATCAGGCTCCATGTGGCCTGCTTGGGATTCTCTCCGTCTCCCTTTCTCTCTGCCCCTCCTCTGCTTGTGCTTTCTTTTTCTCAAAATAAATAAATAAACTTAAAAAAAAAAGGTGTGTGTTTGGGACAATAACTGCTATTAAAGTACTATGGAACCTGTAGTTTTTACACACAAGCACATACACACACAAGCCATACATGCTATGTACTTTTATGGAACTATGCATTCAGTTTCTTTTTTTTTCTACATCACAAAATTACCAATCAAGAACACTGCAAATGATGTGGTACATACAGGAATGGATATACATATGATATATATATATATATACACATATATACATATGATATATATATATATATATATTGA